ACAGTGTTACCCCTTTGTTTTTTTTCATTTTGGGCGAAAAATTAAGTTTCTCCAATCTTCTCAAAACTCTGGATTATGATAGAGGGCTGTGAGACTTTGACCTGAGTGCAAAAATGGAGGCTCTAGACCCTTCCAGAGCTGAGATATCGAAATTCAAAATTTCGACCCGAAAAAAAAAACGACAGTGTTACCCCTTTTGTTTTTTTTCATTTTTGGCGAAAAATTAAGTTTCTCCAATCTTCTCAAAACTCTGGATTATGATAGAGGGCTGTGAGACTTTGACCTGAGTGCAAAAATGGAGGCTCTAGACCCTTCCAGAGCTGAGATATCGAATTTCAAAATTTCGACCCGAAAAAAAAACGACAGTGTTACCCCTTTTTTTTTTTCATTTTTGGGCGAAAAATTAAGTTTCTCCAATCTTCTCAAAACTCTGGATTATGATAGAGGGCTGTGAGACTTTGACCTGAGTGCAAAAATGGAGGCTCTAGACCCTTCCAGAGCTGAGATATCGAATTTCAAAATTTCGACCCGAAAAAAAAACGACAGTGTTACCCCTTTCGTTTTTTTTTCATTTCGGGCGAAAAATTAAGTTTCTCCAATCTTCTCAAAACTCTGGATTATGATAGAGGGCTGTGAGACTTTGACCTGAGTGCAAAAATGGAGGCTCTAGACCCTTCCAGAGCTGAGATATCGAAATTCAAAATTTCGACCCGAAAAAAAAACGACAGTGTTACCCCTTTCGTTTTTTTTTCTTTTTTGGGCGAAAAATTAAGTTTCTCCAATCTTCTCAAAACTCTGGATTATGATAGAGGCCTGTGAGACTTTGACCTGAGTGCAAAAATGGAGGCTCTAGACCCTTCCAGAGCTGAGATATCGAAATTCAAAATTTCGACCCGAAAAAAAAAACGACAGTGTTACCCCTTTCGTTTTTTTTCATTTTTGGGCGAAAAATTAAGTTTCTCCAATCTTCTCAAAACTCTGGATTATGATAGAGGGCCTTGAGACTTTGACCTGAGTGCAAAAATGGAGGCTCTAGACCCTTCCAGAGCTGAGATATCGAAATTCAAAATTTCGACCCAAAAAAAAAACGACAGTGTTACCCCTTTTGTTTTTTTCATTTTCGGGCGAAAAATTAAGTTTCTCCAATCTTCTCAAAACTCTGGATTCTGATAGAGGGCCACGAGACTTTGACCTGAGTGCAAAAATGGAGGCTCTAGACCCTTCCAGAGCTGAGATATCGAAATTCAAAATTTCGACCCGAAAAAAAAACGACAGTGTTACCCCTTTCGTTTTTTTTTTCATTTTTGGGCGAAAAATTAAGTTTCTCCAATCTTCTCAAAACTCTGGATTCTGATAGAGGCCATGAGACTTTGACCTGAGTGCAAAAATGGAGGCTCTAGACCCTTCCAGAGCTGAGATATCGAAACTCAAAATTTCGACCCAAAAAAAAAAACGACAGTGTTACCCCTTTCGTTTTTTTTTTTTTCGGCGCGAAAAATTAAGTTTCTCCAATCTTCTCAAAACTCTGGATTCTGATAGAGGGCCATGAGACTTAGACCTGAGTGCAAAAATGGAGGCTCTAGACCCTTCCAGAGCTGAGATATCGAAATTCAAAAATTCGACCCGAAAAAAAAAACGACAGTGTTACCCCTTTCGTTTTTTTTTTCGGGCGAAAAATTAAGTTTCTCCAATCTTCTCAAAACTCTGGATTCTGATAGAGGGCCATGAGACTTTGACCTGAGTGCAAAAATGGAGGCTCTAGACCCTTCCAGAGCTGAGATATCGAAATTCAAAATTTCGACCCGAAAAAAAAAACGACAGTGTTACCCCTTTCGTTTTTTTTTCATTTTCGGGCGAAAAATTAAGTTTCTCCAATCTTCTCAAAACTCTGGATTATGATAGAGGGCCTTGAGACTTTGACCTGAGTGCAAAAATGGAGGCTCTAGACCCTTCCAGAGCTGAGATATCGAAATTCAAAATTTCGACCCGAAAAAAAAACGACAGTGTTACCCCTTTCGTTTTTTTTTCGTTTTGGGCGAAAAATTAAGTTTCTCCAATCTTCTCAAAACTCTGGATTCTGATAGAGGGCATGAGACTTTGACCTGAGTGCAAAAATGGAGGCTCTAGACCCTTCCAGAGCTGAGATATCGAAATTCAAAAATTTCGACCCAAAAAAAAAACGACAGTGTTACCCCTTTGTTTTTTTCATTTTTCGGGCGAAAAATTAAGTTTCTCCAATCTTCTCAAAACTCTGGATTCTGATAGAGGGCCACGAGACTTTGACCTGAGTGCAAAAATGGAGGCTCTAGACCCTTCCAGAGCTGAGATATCGAAATTCAAAATTTCGACCCGAAAAAAAAAACGACAGTGTTACCCCTTTCGTTTTTTTTCTTTTTGGGCGAAAAATTAAGTTTCTCCAATCTTCTCAAAACTCTGGATTCTGATAGAGGGCCATGAGACTTAGACCTGAGTGCAAAAATGGAGGCTCTAGACCCTTCCAGAGCTGAGATATCGAAACTCAAAATTTCGACCCGAAAAAAAAAACGACAGTGGTACCCCTTTCGTTTTTTTTTTTCGGGCGAAAAAATAAGTTTCTCCAATCTTCTCAAAACTCTGGATTCTGATAGAGGGCCATGAGACTTAGACCTGAGTGCAAAAATGGAGGCTCTAGACCCTTCCAGAGCTGAGATATCGAAACTCAAAAATTCGACCCGAAAAAAAAACGACAGTGGTACCCCTTTCGTTTTTTTTTTTCGGGCGAAAAATTAAGTTTCTCCAATCTTCTCAAAACTCTGGATTCTGATAGAGGGCCATGAGACTTAGACCTGAGTGCAAAAATGGAGGCTCTAGACCCTTCCAGAGCTGAGATATCGAAACTCAAAAATTCGACCCGAAAAAAAAACGACAGTGGTACCCCTTTCGTTTTTTTTTTTTCGGGCGAAAAAATTTAGTTTCTCCAATCTTCTCAAAACTCTGGATTCTGATAGAGGGCCATGAGACTTAGACCTGAGTGCAAAAATGGAGGCTCTAGACCCTTCCAGAGCTGAGATATCGAAACTCAAAAATTCGACCCGAAAAAAAAAAACGACAGTGGACCCCTTTCGTTTTTTTTTTTTCGGGCGAAAAATTAAGTTTCTCCAATCTTCTCAAAACTCTGGATTCTGATAGAGGGCCATGAGACTTAGACCTGAGTGCAAAAATGGAGGCTCTAGACCCTTCCAGAGCTGAGATATCGAAACTCAAAAATTCGACCCGAAAAATAAACGACAGTGGTACCCCTTTCGGGTTTTTTTTTGGGCGAAAAATTAAGTTTCTCCAATCTTCTCAAAACTCTGGATTCTGATAGAGGGCCATGAGACTTAGACCAGAGTTTTTAGAAGATTGGAGAAACTTAATTTTTCGCCCGAAAAAATACAAATGAAAGGGGTACCACTGTCGTTTTTTTTTTCGGGGTCGAAATTTTGACTTTCTCTGATCTTCTTGAAACTCTGGATTATGATAGAGGGCCATGGGATTTAGACCTGAGTGCAAAAATGGAGGCTCTACAGTAGACCCTTCCAGAGCTGAGATGTTGAGTTCCCACGTAGCATTTATGGCATTATATCTCAATATCTCAGCTCTGGAAGGGTCTAGAGGCTCTATTTTGAATTTCTCTGATCTTCTTGAAACTCTGAATTCTGATAGAGGGCCATGGGATTTAGACCTGGTGCAAAAATGGAGGCTCTAGACCCTTCTAGAGCTGAGATATTGGGATCCCACGTAGCATTTATGAATTTATAAATATCTCAATATCTCAGCTCTGGAAGGGTCTAGAGCCTCCATTTTTGCACTCAGGTCTAAGTCCCATGGCCCTCTATCAGAATCCAAAGTTTAAAAAGATTGGAGAAACTTATTTTTTCGGACAAAAAAAAAAACAAAAACGAAAGGGCTACCACTGTCGTTTTTTTGGGGGGGTCGAAATTTTGACTTTCTCTGATCTTCTTGAAACTCTGGATTCTGATAGAGGGCCATGGGATCTAGACCTGAGTGCAAAAATGGAGGCTCTAGACCGTTCCAGAGTTGAGATATTGAGATCCCACGTAGCATTTATGAATTTATAAATATCTCAATATCTCAGCTCTGGAAAGGTCTAGAGCCTCCAATTTTGCACTCAGGTCTAAGTCCCATGGCCCTCTCTCAGAATCCAAAGTTTCAAGAAGATTGGAGAAACTTATTTTTTCGCACCCAAAAAAATTTATTTTTTCGCACTCTGATATTTTTGGGCGGCGCAGAGGTTTTCAAATGTGAGTAAACACGGTTCCTTGTGTTTAACTCGTATGTGTTAAACTACTATAGAGTAAACGTTTTAACTGTTGAAGGTATAAAGGAGTTAGACAATATTGTATAGTTGTGATTTTGCTGTAAACACATGTATTATTATGTACAGCTAGTTAATAAGGGAGCTCCAGTAAGTACATGTAACGCTACGTTTCTAAAGTGGATTTACATAACAGTACACCTTTATTTAATATGTCTTTTACATCAGGAAGGAAAATATTGTATAAGTATTGGAGATGAGCACATCACAACATGAAAAATTCATCTGAGTGTAAGGTTATGTGTGCTGTGCCATTATGTAGGATAATTCACTGTTGTCAACACTGTTAACATTAGACAAATGTGCTGAAAATAAGGCAAATAAACAAATCTATAAAGTAACTAAACATGACATATATTTAATTTGTCCCTTTTAGTGTTGATATATTGAGGAACATTTAAGTTGGATTAAAAGTGAGTTAACACAAAAATCTCAGCATGTAAATGCAGTGTTGAGCTCGTAATGTGAATCTTGTCTGTATGTTACAGGGACAGGAGAACACTATACTACGCTCATGGCACCCGTTATCGTTAATATAACACGCGCTGTGAGGGCTAAGTTTAGGTATGAGGTAGGGTGTGCGTGTCATATTCACACTAAAGGATTTATAACGTCTTGGGTTCGCGTGTTATATTAACGATAAAGTGTGCCATGTGCGTAGTACAGCACCGTTTTTGCATAATAGCGTTCTATATGACGTTGAAGGATGAGAACGGCCTGGTTTATCCAGTGGAGAGAGGCTCATGATGCTGAATCATGTCATCAAAGGATTTGAGTGAGTGGACTACAGAAATGGATAACAACATCTATTAAATCTTAAGTTGTAGTTTATTTGAATGATTGTAATTTCAAATGGAGCAATTACAACACTTTTCTGATTCCTGATTTCTGTGCATTTGCTGCAGAGTGCAGAGCTTTTGTGGTGGAGCAGGACCTGCAAGGAAAGATGGTGGCAGTATTTGTTTGGGAAAAAAAGGTTTTAGGGAATTTATTCAAATATAAAGTAAGGTTATTTTTAATACATAAATCAAATGACATTGTGCTGTTAAAATGACTGCTTTTGTGTAATGTTTGTGCATTTTTGTAGGATCTTAAATGTCTGCAGACTGGTGTGAGCACTGAAGATGAGGAGCCCAGAGCTGAATCCTGGAAGTGGTCCCATGGATGAGACCCTTCATCTCTCCCTCTGCCCTTATGAGTCCCTCCATCTCTCCACCTGCCCTTACGAGAACCTCTATCGCTCCATCTGACCTTATTGCCTCAGATTGTGAAGCGCTTGCAGTAGGATGTGGTGTTCAGCGCCTGTAAATACATGCTTGTAGTTTGAATAAAGCTTTGTTTCATGTGTTGTTGATATGCATTTGTTTGTGATGGTTACTTTTATTTGTATTTTTTGGACATTTTAATTAAAGGGGTGATTAAAGCTTGAGCTTTTGACATCGAACAGGTCATCATATTATAAGAATATCCTGTAAGTTTCAGAACTGAAAACGTCCTTGTTAGTCCAATAAAAGCTTTTATTTAACACAGCCTCTGAAAACGACTCGTTTTTAAAAGTGGGGAACTATGACGACAAAGAGGATAAAACACCACCCCCACAGAAGATGATCATCGCCTGCTTCACCACGGCAGGTTTTGCCCCGCCCACCGATTCGTGCATTACACGCATAGCTAAGTATCATACATGTACATGCTTACCTCGTGATGACAAACTGGATCGCTACCGAGCAATACAGAATATTGTGCAGTGCCTGGTTGTGCAAGACAGTCGCTGCATAAGCTTCCTGTGGATTTCAATAGGACTGCATGGATAAACTTTATTTTTAATGACGTTACAGCTGATGAGGGTAAAACATCGTCGTCTGTTCGCTTCATTTCACTCAGGATTGTTTTGTAAACAAGACTGGATTTGCAGACCGATTAAGAGTAAAGAACGGTGCTGCCATCTATATTGGATCTGACAGGAATATTGTGCAACACACGGACTCTGGGTTGAACATGTATGGGTGAATCCGGTTGCCATTTTACAACATTGGACATTTTCCCCCATGTGCACCAACGGGTGGGTTAAACTCATTATAATATGCAAAACTGTTCTCCACTCGCAGCAGTGGGTGTTAACTTCCAAGTCTTCAGTGCGACATGCCCATAAAAACCGACTGTTTTTTAGGTAGGCTCACAACCGGGGTACAAAATAGCCTATTACTTGTTCATTTTGATGTTTTTGAATGCAAACACCAAGCGAACGATATAAGTTGACCTCAGACAACAATATAATAAAATTTAAAAAGCCAGTTCAAGATACCACGTAGCATTTATGCCATTATAAATATCTCAATATCTCAGCTCTGGAAGGGTCTAGAGCCTCCATTTTTACACTCAGGTCTAAGTCTCATGGCCCTCTATCAGAATCCAGAGTTTCAAGAAGATCAGAGAAACTTTTTTTGCACTTCTTGAAACTCTAGATTCTGATAGAGGGCCATGAGGCTTTGACCTGAGTGCCAAAATGGAGGCTAGACCCTTCCAGAGCTGAGATATTGAGATATTTATAATGGCATAAATGCTACGTGGGATCTCAATATCTCAGCTCTGGAAGGGTCTAGAACCTTCATTGTTGGAGAGCACTTCTGAGCAGCACATGAGGGAAAACCTTCTCTGGCTTGTGGTGACAGCTGCTAAAAATAGGCTGTTAAAATCTCTCTGTAGTCAAGGACACTCCAGTGATTTACATAAAAGCTGAACTTCAAACATGACACTGACAGGTAATTTCACGAATTTTTTGCTCACACCTTCTTACCAGCAATGCACTTTTCTGTGAGAAGAAGATAAAAATTGAAAAAGAGCTCGGTGTGTGTTCCAACACACTGGCTAAATTTGAAGGCACACTGTTATCTTCTAAAGCCATAGCAAAGTTTCCTGAATGGAATATTTTATAACACATTTAGGAGAGCTGCATGTGAAAATCTTCACTTTTTCCTGAGGTTTATTGCTCTGCTGCATGTCTGAAGTGAGAAGAACCTTGTAATAAGATTCAGTGAGATTTTCACCAGCTGTCCATCATTAAGGATCATTCTCATATGCAGCAACACCACATGAACCAACACTCACACACGTAAGCATCACGCATTAACATGTCTTTATCTGTCGCTAATTAAAATCCTACTGACAGTAGTTTACTTGTCCGGCGTCTGGATTGTTTTCTATTATTTCAGTACAATTTTAATGAACACGCAGGGGTTCATACAACAACACGCAGGGGTTAATGGTTCTGTAGTTCAGGGGCATCCAATATGATGAATACTTTCAATCCAGTTAATATAAAAATGTTTTTAAATTAAAAATATTGTTTTTTTATTATTAATTTGAACCATCTCGTGTTGTTCTGTCATCTTAGACCTAAAAACAAATGTTTGAATTCATAAAAATCATTACTTCACCAGAATGGTACAAAACTCTGGGACTTCAAAATGAATGGGAAATACAAAAAAAAAAAAAAAGATTAAAAAAAGCCATGATGAAGAGAAAAAAAGCACAGCAGTGAAGGAGTGACACTCTAAAAGAGTGCAAATAGACACTACAAAATGTCTTTCTCTGTTTTTCACTGTAGTAAAAGATAATGCAAAAACTTAACACTAAAAAAACCCAAAAATCACCGTTTCAAACAAAAAATATCTAAAATCTTGACTAAAAATAGTCTTTGAGAATGTCTAAAGTGTGATTTAGAATCTTTCAATCAATTGAATCGGCTGCAGGGCAGAATTTTCCTGCTGAACTGGTTTAGAGAAAAAATCTGAGCCAATTCCAATAATTATCTGACCCATAATTTTTTGGAGAAGTTAGCAGCACGTTTGTCAATTACCCTAGAATTAAACAGATGATTTACAAATTCAGTTAAATCGCTACTTTTTCAAAAATGAATCGATACTTTTTCGAAAACAATCAATACTTAAAAAAAAAAAAAAAGGTTGCTACTTTTTCAAAAATGAAACAATACTTTTTTAAAATGAATCGCTACTTTTTAAAAAATGAATTGTTACTTTTTCAAAAATAAATTGCTACTTTTTTCGAAAAGAATCAATACTTTTTCAAAAAAGAATCGATACTTTTTCAAAAGTGAACCGATACGTTTTCGAAAAGAATCGATATTTGTTCAAAAAAGAATTGTTACTTTATCAAAAGTGAATCAATACTTTTTCAAAAATGCATCACTACTTTATAAAAAAAATGAATCGATACTTTTTCAAAGACTCGATAGTTTTCAAAAATGAATCGATACTTTTTCAAAACGAATCGCTACTTTAAAAAAAAAAAAGAACCATGCCCTCACCAAAACTACTGTTTCAGTGGAGCTGCTGTCAACATTTCAACATTGTCTCAGCTAAAAGTGTTGCAGCACTGGGTTTGATCCTAATGCCTACAGACTGCTGTGTCAAAACATAGAGGGCAAATTAATTCATGAGATATATAGAAGGGTAAAAATAATGATTTTATAAGGTCTTGTGCTTTTTCCCTTGTTACACACTTGAGTTCTGGCTAGAGGGATCAAAACACATGACAACATGATGTATACTCCCCATGTCACACTGCAAACAGTTCATGATCCATCACAGTGATGTGTCCTCTGATACACATGCCTTTGCTTACTGTTTGCCAGGTGGGATTGTTGAATTCCTGCACTCAATCCACTTAGGGGGCAACATATTTTACTGAACAATCAATGCTCAGTTTGAGCGATTCCTCCACAGTCATTATATGTTTTAGTTACAATTATAAAAGTTTTCACAAGACTGTTAAGTGTATTTCAATATAATCCTTCTAAATGACATCAACACTGCTGAATAGAAGCAAGTTAATGGGTCATGGACAACAAAGCTGATTTGACACACATCAGTGGTCATTACAAATGTTGACATGTCATTTAGGTTCACTTTGAGTTATTTGCAAATGCATTCATTTACTTTGCTTGGAGACTACGGAGCTTTGAATATACTGTATGAAGAAGTGTGCACACACATAGAAACCGAAAAGAGCACCCATGCCAGTCAGGATAACCGTAACTACAGATATTCCAACCGCAACTGAAAAAATAAAAATAAAATAAAATGTAGTTAAGCTGAAATGCATTTCCAGATGATTTAAAAGATGTAGACAAAGGCCTCATAAAGTATAGATAAATTACTTTGAGCACTTCTCTTTTTTAGAGGGAATTTGTTTGGAAACCATTTCGTAAAGCCTCTGGCGATGGTGGTCCCATGCCACAGTCCAGATATCAGCAGATTATTACTTGCTCCGCCGAGCCGCTTTTGTTGATATGTGGAAATTCCCAGAGGGCAAGCGCCATAAGCTGTTGAAGTCGATTATGAGCTTGCATTGACCTCACCTTATCAACGTGGCAAGCCCTGCAGCCGTGTTTGCTTGGCTTTTGTCTCTTGTGAAAACACTGCGCCAGAATTTCTGCAAGGAACAGAAGTAAAACCTCAGGGACTTTCCTACTGAGACACTTTTGACAATTTATAACGTCTCTTCTCTCCTTTCCAATTGCTCATGCTCAGATCTCAAAAACCCATTTACTTTGATATTTTTAGCATCACAGAAATGAACAAGAGGTCAGGGGGTTTTCTTTGTGTTATGAAACTATGTGGTTGACCATTTGGTGAAGTAGTTGTCATTCATGAATCTCTACATTTTTAACTTAAAAATCTTATCTGATGAGTCAAATCAAAGGACAAATATTTTTCACAAAACTGATAATTCGTGGAACCATTTTCCGAGGCAGAAATTCCAGTGATTGCAATGTAGGGATGGGAAAATTTCATATCACGATTATAGTGTCCAAAATTATCGTGATTATCAATCACGATGAGAGATGAAAGTGTTCAAAAAGAACTGATGCTCACACAGAAAACATTTCAACAAGATTTATATTTGAAAATCAACAAACAACAAATAAATAAGCATCTCTATGCAGTTTTTAAGCAAGATTCTATTTTGTCCCATTTCCCTCTTAATAATGCCCGTCGTCAACAGCAACGTATTATTACACAGCGCACATCCATGTATCACAACGGACACGCACTCATTTCATTCAAATACAACTTGCTGTCTTGCATCTACCGTTTTTGATTGTACTGAAAATGAAATCCAAGTTGATTTATTGTTTGATAATATTTTTGTGATCATGTTGTCTGGACGATTGTTTTGTATGCTGTACAAAATGGAATAAACGGATAAGATTTAAAACATTAATCTCAATTCAATATGTCCCCGTAATTATGTGGTTAAAAAAAGAAATCTGTGTAATAAGTGTAAAATGATTATACATTACTATCACTTAAAATGTTAACGTT